AAATTTCTAAAGTTTTAATACCTCTAATGTATGAGGAACATTCAAAGTTTTCAAGATTTGTAAGATCTTTAAAATTTTGTCCATATCTATCAAATGAAATCTAGTTTTTAAATTTTGTTTATTAATATTAAAATTAACAATTAAATTAAAAAAAAAAAGAGACGGTGGTGTCGTACACAACACCACTGAACACATACCCAAAACCCTACACCTTGTGCTTGCCCCAACTACCCAACCCACTCTGTTGGCACCCATACCTTACACTGCCAGCACCCATACCCTGCTAAACCATTTGCTCCCCCCTTTGAAGCTCCTAAAAACCTCGCATCCTTCTTTGAGCCAAAGGATTCCCAGGCATCGATCCCTCACACCTTCAACACCCTACACCTTACCTAGTGCCAAAGCCTTCACCCATGAGAGAGCAAAACCCTAGCACCCTACACTTTCATACCCAGTGCCTAGGTCTTTGCTCGTACAAGACCAAGCTTCCTCCTATGCGTTAGATCTCTTCCACCAATCACCTTGCCTAAGCCTTGTGTACTCCCAACCTAATCTTGGCCTATCCATACATCGACACCTAAGCTCTCACGTTGAAACAACCTAGCTCTTAACAAAAGGAACTAGTGCCAATCGTCAAAGTCCCAACCTCCAAGCATTCGAGCTTTTTCTCACACCCAAACCCCAAGCCATCATGCGCCCCACGAGGCCTTCTTCACCCAGCCAACCAAACACCTAAGACATCCCTATGCCTTCGCCCCATACAATACCACCTCTAACCCAGCCAAGTCCTTCCATCAACCCCACAAAACCCTACCCATTATAAAGTAAAAAAGCCAAAAACAAAACACAAAAAAAAAAAAAAACACAAACTCAATCATCCTCATAGAAAAGAACCATTAACGCCAAAACCCTTGTCAAAAAGAAAAAAAAAACATTAGTTTTAGTTTATAAAAAAAGAATACTGAAACTTTAAACCTTAATCTACGTCGATCGAGACTATTCCCGATAAAAAGAAGATTAGATTTAAAAATAGGGCATTAAGGAAAGCTTTTGAAAACCTTTTGGCACTTTTCAATGACTGATGGTATGATAGACGGTGGTCGATACGGTGGCTCAACGACCGGAGTCTATAAGGCTGGCTGACTCTAGATTTTTTGGAAGAGAAAGCAAATTCTTTTTAGGTTGAAAGGTGAAAATGAAGTAAAAAAAAATTTGTTTTATATAAAGAGAAAAAGCCAAAAACGATGCGTTTTAAGCAAAGGGGATCCACGCGTGAACCTGGATCTGACTTGGGATCTACGCAACCCAACTTGGCTACCCATCCTTCAAATAGCCCTAAAATGGTTCAACTGAACTGCTCATCGAACCGCCCTTTTGTCGGTCCAGTTGAACTAGCGTTGTAATTTTTTTTATTTTTTGACTTTTTTATATATATTATTTTTATCATTTTTAGTTTTATTGTTATTTATCCATGTTTAAACCCTTTAATTTTTTTAGAATAAATATTTTTTGTTTTATAATAATTATTAATAAAAATAAAAGCTAAATAAATAAACAAAAAAAGTAATAAATAATGAGTAATAAAGTTAAAGTTTTTGATAATTTTGTAAAAATTTTTAAAACAAACCATATTAAATAATATATAATAAATAAAATAACAATAACTAAATAATAATAACAATAATAAGAATGAAAAATGATTTCAATTATTTTTATTTTTATTTTTTTTTAAACAATAATTAAATAAATAATAAATAAATAAAAAGAATAATAACAAAATATGCTAAAAAATCCAAAAAAATGATAATAAGAATAAAATGATAAAAAAATTTTCCTTGCCTAAATGATGGAGGGAATAAAAATCATTTTCTAAAAAAATAATTTTGTCTAGATGTTGAAAATTTATTAAATAATAATAATAATAATAACAAATTATTATTATTATTAAATTTTTATAAAAAAATATATATGAAAATTTTTAATTAAATTTTGAAAATTATAAAAATCGGATTTGTTTCAAAAATTTGCCTAGATGTTGAAAATTTTAGAGATATTTGGATTTTCTTCAAATCTTCAAACTAAAACCCTAAACCCTTTTAATCCTAAAATCGAAATCATAAAACCCTTTAAACCTTAAAATAGAAATCATATACCCTTCAAACCTTAAAACTAAACCCTTTAAACCCTAAAATTTGAAACCCTAAAATCCTTAAAACCCTTGAAACCCTAAGATTTCTAAACCCTAAACCTCCAAATCCTAGACCCTCAAAACCTCAAAATCTCAAAATCTTCTAAACCCAAAATCCCAAAAACCTTCTAAACCCTAAAACCAAACCCTAAAACCCTAAAACTCAAACCAAAACCCTAAAATCCAAAACTCCAAAATCTCGAAACCCTAATCTTAAAACCCTAAAGTGAGATCTTAAATCTTGAAAAATTAATAAAAACCCTAAATTTAACCTAAACCCTGAATTTGGCATGCAACCTCGAATCATCATCGAAAAATCATTCAAACTTTAAAACTTTGACCTAAGCTTTACCCAAAACTATTCCAAAATCTTAAAGATACGTGTGAAAATCTTACTTGAAATAATTTGTTCTCGAATGCCACCTAGATGATAGGATATTTAAGAAACTTTATTTCATTAAGCTTTTCATGTGAATCCTTGATTCGCCTTAACAATGGGAATAAAACTTTAATAAAAAATATAATAATATAAGGGGATCTTAAATATAAACAGTCGCATATAAACTTTGCCTAGATGTTGGGAGTCAAATTGGCTTATTATATTTAAGAACCCAAATTTCAAAATTGCATTTTATCATTATCCATAACATCTATTAATGCATCTATTTATTATAGATTGTACTCATTCTGCATGTTTATACCTTTAGTTAATGTTTGTTATCTAATAATACCATCGTTGGTATTTTTGCATAAAAAATGTGTTTAATTTCAAAATGTGGAATAAAACAAAAAAAAAATCCTAAGGGGAATAATTTTTGGTACTTTACCTAGATATTAAAAAGTCATCAACAATTATCTTTTGCAAAGAATGTTATTTTTTTTTCAAGAAATGTCATAATAAATATCAGTCAAAAGAGTTATTTTTAAAGTTTTGTCTAGATGTTGAAAAATTTTAAGATAATTCTTAAACTTAAAGATTTTCTCGATATTCCTAAACAAAGAATTTTAATAAAATTAATTTTTTTTTCAAATAATAAAGGAAATTATTATTAAATTTCATATCAAAACTATTTCATCCAACATCAAAAATATCACATGATTAAGTGGTGCTAGTTTATGGGTGCTAATTCTTCTCCACACGTAACTAACTCTCAAATCTAACCTAGTTTTTGTAAACCAATCTTCTTCACACGTAACTAACTTTCAGCCCCAACCTATTTTTTGTAGACCAAAATTTATCTTTTTGATAAACTTTTAACCCGTTTTTATAATTATATTAAAGAGATAAATTTTTGGGTGACAAATCATACCCTAAAGAAGATTGGTGGTGACTCTACCCATTTTTCTTAATTTTAAAATTTTTTTCATCTAGTGGTCCCAAAATCGTTACGACATGTGGCCTTTTAGAAAATGGAGGTTAGTGGTAGATTTGGTGTTAGGATTGTGTTTTCTAATTTAGAGTTTAGGCAGTGGCTGTAGGAGGCTATGGTGATGAGGTATAAAGGCTGGTATGGGCTGGAGCTGTGGAGAAAGATTGGGCATAGGACCAGTGCTAGAGCTCAGGGTGGTGCTAGTGATTGGCGTTAATGTTTAGGGTTAGGGTGTTTTGCAGGCTGGGTGGTGTTAGGTTGTCTGGGGCTGGTTCCTAAAACTTGATGTTGGTGCTTGGGGAGGGCCAAGGCTCGTGCCAATAGAAGGAGAGTTTTGGGAAGGCCATTCGTGCAAATGAAAGCTAGTAAGAGGTTGGTGCTATGGAGGTGTGGGGCTTAAGCTCTTAGTGGGAAAGGCTAGAGCTAGTGATTTTAATGGTAACTAGAGGGTTCAAAAAAAATTCTGTTTAAATCTCCTTTTTTCCAAATGGTGCTTATCAATTTTTACCTCAATAGGGATTTCAACAATCCAAAATTTTCAATATATTAGGGTAGTTTAGCTTCAGCTAAAACTCCTCAGAATTCAAAGTTTGGGCCTATTACAAATTGCTTCCCTTAGTACATTAGTGGTTATCAGCAACTCCAATTTTTTTATTTTCTTGCTTTTTTTATCATTTTGTCCTTTTTAATTAATTTAATTAAAATAAATGAAATTGAGATTTAAAAAAATAATCCAAGCCTAAAATTGGAGCTTAAGGGTCGAAAAATTAATTTGGGCTCCGATTAAGTTTTGACTCGAGACTGAACCAAATTAGACTTTAGGATTCGTACTTTAAATCGGACTAGATTTTAATTCATATAAATGATTCAAAAACAATTAATCTGAGATAAGTCCAAAACACATTAATTTAATTACTGTACTTAAATTAGTCAAACGTAAATTATTTGAATCAAACATAAAAATCGAACAAAAGTCAAATCAATCTAGATTAAATGAGGTTGAACTTCAAATTACGCAAATCGATTTGAAAATGATTATTCCAGGTCAAATCTGAATGAGTTTAATCTAATTAAATCTAATTAAATTAGCCCAAATTAAAATGTTAAAATTAAATTTAAAAATCGAACAAATTCGAGTTGGATCGAATAAAATTGGATATTTACACTCATAATTAAATCAAACAATTCAAATACGATACACTGACACAATGTAAAAATTATATGAAAAAGATATGAAAATAACACCGGTTAAAATTTTAATAAAAAATATATGTAGGCTTAATACAAATAAAAAATGTATTTATATTTTTTAATCAATACAGATTATAATATATAATTTTATATAAAATATAACATAAATATATGAATTCTTGATGTTTTATACGACACACCTATCTAGTATATATTATTTTGATTATAAATCTCACCGCGTAGCACTTGTCGTTCCTACTTTAAAAGCGGAACCAATCAGTTACGCGGTCCAACCGCACTGCTTAGGTATCTCTTTAACCTCCTGCAATGCAAACGAGTACAAAAACAAAAGCAACCTTTCTCTCTATTCCTCTACAATAAGCAGAAAGTAAAACGTTTAAAAGGGAAAATCCTCTCTTTTCATCGATTGCCAAAAGCATCTAAAACTCTGTCGATCGCAAGAGAGAGGGAATCGGGAAATATGGGGAAGAAAAGGAAGTCGATAGCGACGAGCCTTGATGAGGTGGATCGGACTATGTACGCCTCGTTCTGCAGCACCGCGAACTCCTTGTCTCAGCTTTATACTCAGGCTATGAACCAGCAGAAACTCTCCTTCCAAGCTGGCAAACGCCATAGCCTTGTACTCTCTCTCTTTCTCTCTGCATTTATACACGTATATGGATTCCTTGAATTTCGGGTGGTTATTTGTATGCAATTTTATCTTGATGGATTTTTATATCTGTTTTTGCATCTGGGTTTTGCGTTTTATTACTTATCTATCGTTGAGTAGCTCAAAGTTATGATTTTGATCAATCAAGCCTGCTTTTTTTTTTTATTTGTACTTTAATTGTGGTAAAAAAAATATTTTTGATGCGAATATGGTTAGGGATTTACTGGTTTTGGATTAAATTGATTAGCTTATTTTATGCTTGTGTTTCTGGATATATTTCGTTTGTGCGTGTTTTTTATCGAAGACAGTGTGGTGCATTTTGATTTTGTTGAGAAACATAAACAATGATTGTAAATTTAAAAAAAAAACAAAAAGTGTCGTTGATGCGTTGATAATGTTGTTGTGTTGTCCTTTGAGCTAAGAGTGGAAACGGTTGCTAGGGTAAACTTGTGGTGAGTTTGAGTTGAGCTAATCTTTGATGGGCATTGATACATTTTAACAAAGATTTTCAAATCAACAAAGAGTTTCCTTTTTCCCTTTTAGGATCAATACTTGCTTATTGCAGTGTCTCAGTTGTGAAATGCTGTAATGTGGAAATTGGAATACTGAATGTTTTCTTTCGTGTTTTACAATACAATCTTCACTTAGGCCTCTTAAAAGTGAAGATAATGAAACCTTTGATATCACTTTTTTACATGTATGCCATTTAAAGCTTGAAGCTTGTTAGTCACTGAGTCATGCAACCAGCTTATTTAGAACCCTACCAGAGTTTTGATGTTAACTCCTTTTAGTGTTAATGAAATGTGACTAAAAATGGGAGGGGTGTATTGGAAGCTTGACAGCAGCTTATAAATCATTGGTATAGTCAACTCACTCAAATGTGCTCAGACATGTTTTAGAATCATTATACACAACTTGGAAGTTTAACTTCTAAAGAGGAATTTGGATGTCTTATAAATTCTGCATGCTTCCATCGTTAAGAGCTGTTATGTTAGTTGTTTTGTCTGAATTTGGCTTCCAGCCTTTATTTGTGAACTTGCTCATCCAGTTATCTCTGAAGTGCTTCTAGCTGCGAGTTAGAAGTTCTGCTAATACAGTCATTTCAACATGTTTTCAGGAAAAACTATATCAGTGGATTTGGAGACAACAAGAGGGAGGATCAAGAGTAACAACAATGGATATCCTCAGTTACCTTCAGGTCTGTTGTTCTTCTTTGCCTATTTTATCATCTTCCATTAGAGGTGGAAAAATGAATCCGAACCTGAAAACTTGCCTTAAAAATCTGAATCCAAACCCTCACATACCCAAATTGTCCAGAAAGTCAAAGACCCCATCCTAAAAGAATCCGAACCCAAAACGACTTGAACCCCCAATGTTCCGAACCTGAGATTGACCTGATCTAAACTTGAAATAAGCCAAACTTAATACAAAAAATTTAAAATTAATAAACAATTTTATTCTAACCCAAAACTGTCCTGATCCTGAAATGATCCAAACTTGGAACAATCTGAACCCTGTCTGACCTGATTGAACCACCTGTTTGCCACCTCTATCTGCAATTCACTCTTTGAATGTGTTTGTGCTGGAGTTCTGTTATGGATATCTTAATACATGTCGGTGCATAGGGATAAGCTTTTTGCCTTTTTATTTTTAACAGCTCATGAAAAGTTTGTCTAGGCTTCCTATCAAGGTTGAATGACATATCCCTTTTCCTTGGTTGTCTTTTTGAAATTGAATGACACATCCTTTTTCCTTGGTTGCCCTTTTGAAATTGAATGTCATATCTCTTCCTCTTTTCTGGTGTATTGGATTCCTTACAGTATTTACCATTTGCAAACCTGTGATCTGTTATATCTGGTTATTTTTCTATCTTAGGCTTTCATAAGAAGAGAAACAATGAAATTTTGACTCTATTCATGTGTGGTTCCTTTTTCTTTCTGCATGATTCTGCAACTAGGTTTGACCAATAGGAGGCATACTGGAAATTTGGAATTAAACTTTGTGCATTGTGCAGTTTAGATATTTAAAATGTTTGGAAGTGATGAGATGCAATGTATGATGAGAATTGTAACAAGATGTTGTTTCTGTTTTTTTTTTTTTTTTTTGGTTTTATTTCCGAAAATTATAAGCTAGGAAGGAAGAAGTTATCTAGAATTACCAGTCTAGAGTCTTCTTGTTCCCATTATTGAGAATAGATGATTTAATCTATTTGAATGTAAGTTAGTCAATGCTGAGTATATGCAAGTATACCTTATTGCAGTAACGGTTTCTACTAACATGGGATGATAACCTTGGACCCAATTTCGCATGTTTTTATAACTAATGATACAAGTTTTAAATTTATTTCATTGATTTGTGATTATTCCTGAACATAATTAAAATAAAACAGAAAGGTCATTTTACCTCCATAATAAGCTTGGATTGATTTCTTGACCCTTTGCTATTTGTTGAATTTACTATTTTCTCTGACGCTGGCACTAAACACATCAATATGAAATCATTATACCTATTTATTTTAGTAACACAACCCAAAGCAGTCATTGAAATTTCTGTTCGAGTGAGGTCTGAACAGGCTTGCAGTTGGGTCTATGTCACCTAGAACTGCTGAAACCCTTAACTGCCAGGCACTTGTCTTATGATATTGATTTACTCATTATAGAGTGACCTTATAGGATATGCCGCAAGCAGCATAATTTTTTACTTTGGGTGACATTGTATTCATATGTTAAAAACCTACATATTGTTTCAGTAGTAAGTACGCTTCTTTTTTCAAATCTGTTATATTTAGTTCTCAAATTTTGCATCTGAAAGACTTATAAGAGGAGTTATTATGCTGTTCTTCAGTGGTTAAGTGTGCAGTGCATACTAATCAGCTGGATGTCAATTATGGGACAGTTTGAGTGACATCATTACCATAATGGTGAAAAGTATTGTTTGCTTTTGGAACAGAAAATTGTTAGTTTTATAATATTCTAGTAGTTTGGGCCTCTAAAGATGTGTGCAAGCACTAGCGTGTTTATTACAAAGCTGGCAACTATTGGTTCTCCCTTCTGAACTGTGGGATCCTTCTTGTGATTCTTTTGGCATTCCTTACACTTTTTTTCTGATCCTTTCTATTTATGATAACTGATTATCTTTATTATATTCTGAAATTCCGAATATTTTATGATCTTGCAGAATGAGCTAGACTGCTATAGTGAGGAGCCATCAATGTCACCCAGAGCACCAAGCCAACAGCAGTATTCCCAGCCTACAATGCAGTTCGTGAATACTAGTTTCGTGGTCTCTTCAGGCTCATCTGGCCAAACTGCTGGGCAGGGAACTCGCCCTGAAACTCGCCCTGATCATTGTGATCAGCAGTCCAAGAATTCAGTTTTCTCGAATGCTTTATCAAGTCCTGTTCGTCAGAGCCTTCAGCATTATCACATTGCTCAGGAAGGCTACTGTCCTAATGGTGGTCTGCCATCGGGAAATGGAGCCAGGAATAGTGAATCTAACTTTCTCCAACACCAGGCTGGGGATTCTAATCCTCTTAGTTCCAATGATTCCTCAATGGACATGCATGCAGATAGTCCATCTCATGAATCTACTTACTGAGAGTGCAATGGTAGCTCCGTTGAGAACTGCCAACTATTAAAAGATCCTGAAGGGTTTTTTGATCGCATCACCATTTTGTTTGTTGCTGTTACTGAAGCAAAGAAAGCGCAACATAAAGATGGTTACTTCATACAAAAATAAACACATGGCACTGTTGATTGAAGGAGAATAGTCTAGTGTGTTGTGTTTGCATAGCACTGAATGGTATGAATTTATCAGTTTATGTGTTTTGGCTCTATTTGCTTGGAGGTCTTAAATTTCGTATGTAAATCATTTTGTTCAATCAATAGAGCTACTTTAAAAAACATCAAACTGGTTGTTAAATTTCTCTCAATTTTTTTACCTTTTATGATTTCTTTATGACTGCTTATTAAGATTTATTCATTTTGTCTCCATAAAGTTAGTTCTGAATATTTGCTCTATACAGCATCTACACAGATTCTGATTATTGAAACTGCTTGTGGTTCATGATATTGTTGCAAAATAATTGGATTGGCTAGCATTTAACTCACCATACATGTGTAACCAAAGGGTTTGGAATAAAATACCATTCCCGGATTAATAAGGAAAAGACCTTGAAAACGTTCTCCGAAGGTTGAGGTGAAAATTCAGGACCTTTGAATCTCAGCCTAGGAGCTCAAAACTCGTAGTTGAGTTTATACTGTCAGACTCCCAGGTCGAGAACAGCTTCAGCAAAACGAAATTGAATCTGGGTTTCTGGTGATGCTTCATCTTTTTCTCAGCCCTTCGCACATCAAGGGAGATCAAGGTAAGAGAAAAGTATTATCACCTCACCTTTTGAACACCTAAATCTTGTTACGTTCTTCAGAATCTCCTTTTAAATGGAAAGGGAATCCTAAATTAAGTTGCCTAGCTAAAGAGGGAGAATTATTAGTTTCTGGACCATTTGCTTTTATTAAAATGCATAGCCCTCTCTTTGTTTCAATGGTGGATGGCGCATTGAATTTGCTGGTCAAAGTCTAAATATATGAGCTTTTCTTCATTTATTTTGTGACCAATGTCTCATCATGATAGCAGTTATTATTACAGTTTTTAAAGTGACAGATTTAACAAAAACGAGGTACATGCAGTACATAAAAGCTCATTACTTTGTGTTGGAAAAGTCACATTCATTGTTGTCCCAACGTTAAATTGATTCATCTAAACAAATAAGAAAAAGATTAAAGGAGAAACTTGAAATACAGACGAACGTTCCTGATGCTATCTTGTGGCTGCTACACACCGCCATGTCGGCACCATTTGCAATACCAGACAATGCCAGATGGGGTCCAAAACCATTCCAAGTTAAGCAGCAGTCTCTCTCTTTCATTGGCATTTTGACAAGAATTAAATATGCAGCTCACCGACCAGCAAGCCTTTCACAATCAGGTTCCTATATAGAGAATCCCATGCAACTTTGTTACCTTATGTGGAAGTATTTAGTGCTAAAAAAGGTATAATAATTTTTTTTTTATATTAGAAGCCTTCAACAGATAACCAGTAATAATTTTGACATTTGTATTTACCTGAAATGTTAGGTCGGTCTAACATACTCAATGTCACATTGACTTGATCATATCCTTATTGTCCTCTAATGTTCCCTTATCTATAATTTATAAATATGAATATTCAAGCACCATTAAAACAAGTTTATTCTACTTCTGATTCTCTTTATTACTCTCTTTCTAACTTCATTTATTCTGTATGTCGGAGTACAAACATAGGGAACACTCTTTGTCTTTACCTTTAATTGTCCTTCTCTTCTGTCTTTCTAGAAAATCCTAAGATCGAAACTTGACACAAATATTTGGTGCGCCAATAAGGGCTTCTTTTTCCAATCACAAGCTGAGTGTCATGAGCTAACGTTGTATAGGGCAATGTCCGGGGCTTAGGTTGTTATGAGCCACCCATGTATAGGGCCATGACTGGGTAGAGGTGCCAAGGGGGGAAGGTATATCTCTTGTGCTAGAAAAAATGTCCTCATTTCAAACATTGTAACGATTAGTAGTAGCATAGCTCTAAAATCTTTTATGCTCTTTAGGGGGGTGAGCAGTCAACATATTGTTGGGCTGCCTCATTGGTTAGGGTACAGACGTAGGCCACCCGTCAAGGGCTACCCCCTGGCCCCGACAATGGTGTGAAGTCTCGATGTACTATTTTCGATAATAATAAAATACGTCTTTTATTCGAAAGTCTCGAGTATTGCCTCGATGTGTTTTTCATGCTCTCGATATAAATGTGTCTTCTTGTGTATGCTTGAGATTAACTGTGGCTTATGGTTGCTTGTTCAGATATAGAGTTATCGTTGGCTGACTTGGGTGGAAACGTCCATTCAAGTGCCGCATGATCCATCGCTTGTTGAGAGAAAGCTTAGCCCGTAACACGTGGTATCATAGCATAATGTGAAGTGCTAGAGAATTGAAGAAATGGCCATGAATGGTGGTGTCAACCATCAACAAATAATTGAGGAGCTTAAGGCTGCGGTGGCCACTTTGAAAGCTCATGTGGTTATGAACAATCGTCTAAGGGAGATCGAGACAATCCAGTGGGAAGTTGTTCGATACTCTACATAGCTTGAATGAAAAGGCTAGAGATGCCTTGAATGTCCTCCAGAAAGAGTTTGAGGAGCTCAGGACCCAAATGGGCGTCTTATAGGTGGCGGTGGCTAGATCAAGTTCTAGCTTGGTGGAAAAGGGAAAAAAACCAAGGTGCTAGAGCCCCGATGCTATGAGAGGGCAAGAGATGCCAAAGAGCTTGAGAATTTCCTATTTGACATAGAGCAATACTTTCAAGCCACGCGTACTAAATTAGAGGAAGACAAGGTGGCAATGGCATCAATGTACCTTACGGGGGATGCCAAGCTTTAGTGGCATTCAAAATTTGTAAATGATGAATGCCCTATCAAAACTTGGGTGACCTAAAGCAGGAATTGAAAAACTAGTTCTTTCTTAAAAACGTAGAGTATATGGCCTGAAGGAAGCTGCGAGAGTTGGTGTAAACGAGAACAATGCGGGAGTTTGTAAAGAGCTTTTCTACCCTAATGTTGGACATTAGAGACATGTTCGAAAAGGACAAAATGTTTTATTTTCTTGAGGGCTTCAAACCATGGGTCAGAACAGAACTGTATAGGCAAAAGGTGCAAGATGTGGCAACGACCATAGCTACAGTCGAATGTCTTCATGACTACAATGATGGCTCCTCAAAATAGAAAAATCCTTCATTATGTGGCAATAACTCCATCTTTGGAAGTGGTAGAAAGATGGCCAGAGTGGACCGACCCTTCAGTAGGGGATCAGATAAGAGGCCCTTTGGTCGAGACAACACCCAACCTAGAGCAAACAACGCAACAGGTTTTAGGCCTAGGCAACCATTAGCTTGTTTTTTATGTAAGGGGCCGCATCAAGTGGTTAAGTGTCCACATAGAGGGCCCTTAATGTCTTGAGAGCCTCGTCCCAAGATTCTGTAAAAGCTTCTGAGACAGTCGAAGAAATTGAATAGGAACCGACCAAAATGGGCTTTATGCGTTTCTAAATGCCCTCTATACCCAGTTTAACATGATAAAGAGAGAACTAAGTAGAGGTTTGATGTATGTGGGCATGGTATTCAATGAGAAGATCACAAGGGCTATGGTCGATACAGGTGCAATCGATACTTTTATCACACCCGAAGAAGCAAAAAGGTGTGGTCTCAAGGTGAACAAGAACTACGGGCAAATAAAAACGGTAAACTCACCAGCCTTCGTAATTAGTGAAAGCTTCAAATATGTAATGACCAAGTTGGGGCCATGGAAAGGAAAGATAGACATCACAGTTTCCCTTATGGATGACTTTGATGTTGTTCTTGGATTGGACTTTATGATGTTGGCTCAGGCGATACCAATCCCCGTCGCTAGTTGTCTATTATTCTTAGAGGAGCAACCCTGTGTGGTGCCAGCCACAATCTTACTGAAGAATGGAAGAAAGATAATCTCAGCATTACAATTCAAGAAAGGGATAAAAAGAGGGAAGGCTTCTTATGTGGTGATATCGATCTATAAGAATGGGATGGAGTTTAAAAATGTGATGCCAAAACAATTACCTAAGGTCTTACCTCCTCGAAGATCGGTTGACCATGAAATTGAACTTCTCATAGGGGTTAAACCCTTTGCTAAGGCCCCATACTACATGGCTCCACCAGAATTGGTCGAACTAAGGAAACAATTGGATGAACTCTTACAGGCCGGGTTTATTAGGTAGTCAAAAGCACCCTTTGAAACACTCGTACTGTTTCAGAGGAAGCATTATGGAAGCCTATGACTATGCATCGACTACAAAGCCTTAAATAAGGTCATCGTGAGAAACAAGTACCCGATTCCTCTTATTGCTAATTTGTTTGATCAATTGAGTCGGGCCAAATATTTTTCCAAATTGGACATGAGGTCTGGCTATCATCAAGTTAGAATTACAAAGGGAGATGAATCGAAAACCACATGTGTAACCTGGTATAGCATTTGAATTTCTTGCTATGCTTTTTGGACTAACCAATGCTCTTGCCACATTTGGTACCTTGATAAATCAAGTGTTCCACGATTACCTTGACAAATTCGTGGTGATTTATTTAGATGACATAGTAGTATACAGCTCCACTTTGGAAGAACACCAAGAACACTTGTGCCTAGTGCTTCAAAGATTACAAGACCACTAGTTATATATGAAAAGAGAGAAATGTGCCTTTGTTCAGACCCAAATCCATTTTCTAGGTCACATTGTCAAACAAGGTCATATTCGAATGGATATGGAAAAGGTTAGAGCCATCAAAGAGTGGACAACACCTAAGAATGTTAGTGAGCTTTGCTCATTTTTGGGATTGGCCAACTATTACAGAAGATTTGTAGAAGGGTACTCTCATAAAACTACGACCCTCATAGAACTATTGAAAAAAGAGCATAAATGGTGTTGGACGAGCAAATGTCAAGAAGCATTTGAATGACTAAAGGAAGCCATTATGAAAGATCCCATCTTGGCCCTTCCCGACATCGAACAACCTTTCGAAGTCCAAACAGATGCTTCTAACTTTGCTATTGAGAGAGTACTCCTACAAGCACGGCACCCAATAGCATTTGAAAGTAGAAAGCTAAGTGAAGCCGAGAGAAAATATACGGCCCAAGAAAAAGAACTCCTAACAGTAATTCACTATTTGAAAACTTGGCAACATTATGTGTTGGGCTCGTACTTTGTAGTGAAGACAGACAATGCTACAGTTAGTCATTTTCTTACCCAACCAAGGTTCACAGTGAAGCAAGCTTGATGGCAAGAATTTTTAGCTAAGTTTGACTTTTGTTTTGAGCACACCGCTAGAAAGACCAATCAAGTGCCTGATGCATTGAGTAAATGAGCAAAGTTAGCGGCCCTTAGAAGAATTACCCCAATGGTGGCTAGTAGAGTTGTGACGAACATTTGCAAGTTAATTGAAGATAATTTGGGAAAGGACCTACAGGCCAATGCCATCTTAAAGCTAGTTGAAGAAGGGATGTCCAAGTATTTCTGACGGGAGAACGGGGTCTTGTGGACAAAGGATCTTCGATTGTTTGTGCCGAAGGTATGGGGTCTGAAACAAATGCTGATGAGGGAGTGTTATGATACACTATGGGTTGGACACCCAAGTTGGCAACGCACTTTTGCTCTATTAAAACAGGAATATTATTGGCCTCACATGTAACAAGACGTGATGGACTATACAAAGACTTGCGTCATCTGCCAACAAGATAAAATTGAAAAGAAAAAACTTGCAGGCATGCTTGAACCACTACTGGTGCCTACTAAACCTTAGGAAAGCATCTCTTGACTTTATTTTTGCCTTCCCAAAGTTGGTGATCTTAGAGCTATTTTGGTAGTGATCGATCGTTTCTTCAAGTTTGCCACATTCATTCCCACCCACAAGTATTATACTGCAAAAGACACAGCTCGACTTCTATTTAAACATGTGATCAAATATCGGGGCCT